CTGTCGGGGTAGTACCTGCACCTGTCCCACCGCATCTTCTCAGGGTAGTACTTCTCTGGGAGCCAGGCGTGCTCGCTGTCCGAGTGGTGGTATCGGCTCCAGTCCTGGTCAGCCCCACTCCTGGTTCGTGAGTGGTGGTAGCTGTACCTGCTCAGACTTCGGCGCTCGCCTGGGCTGACTCTCTCACCGTAGCACAGAAGGTGCTGGCTCCCGTTGCAGTGCTCCATGATGTGGCACTCCTGCTTGCTGTGCTTTCTAGTATAGGAGCGTCGCTTTTTGTGACAGTGGTCCTCAGTCCTGCTCCGACTCCGACTCCTACTTTTCTGCACACGTTCCCCACTGGAGGAGCGGTCTCGACGGTTACGGTAATGTCCTCGGTCAACTTTTCTAAGGCTGCTGATTTTCTCTTTAACTGGAGGGTGATCTGGAACTTTCTGCATGGCCTTGCCTTCGCTGCACCTCTCCCCGAGACTGTGCTCAGGGCCCCCTTCAGGATGGGCGCCTGTGGTCCTATGTGGTGGAGCAGAGGGCAGCGTGACAGCAGATACACCTGTGCTCCGGGACGGGGCCTCGGCGTCACCACTCTCGCCTCTGCTGAGGTAAACTAAGAGCTCATGCTTACATCCACCTTCCGAATGTGCGGGCGGAGCCGGGCTCAGCTTCTCCGCTGTTTCTGCTGGACCAGAATCCTGCAGGGTCTCAATTAACAACCCTTTGACCTCTTGGGGCATTTCACTGCCCTCATGCGTTAAGTTCCCAGCGTCATAGAGTTCAGGAAGTTGATCATCCCCAGAGTTGGTCTTGGTGTTACAAAGGTTGTTAACGATGGGCAAAGATTCATCAGGTTTGGCTGAACTGTTTTCTGAGACAACTTCTTTGGTAGATTTGAGGGTGCTATCAGGGGACAGCAAAGCCTTCTTAAATTTGCTGCACAGACTTGTGATGGGGTCCAGTTTCTCATGGGAACCCGTGGTGGCACTGCCAGCCTCAAGCTCCACAGCAAGCTCCCCTGACGGACTTCTCTCTGTTCCAGGCAGACTGCATCCCCGCCAAAAGAAAGAGACAAACCAGTGGTTAGCATGAGTGCTACAGAGGTTTTGTCATGGCTTACACTTACTAAATATTTTATTGCTTTAAATATAGCTGGCTACAAGCCACTATCAGGCTATCTTCTCTGGATACCAAGTTTTCTCTGTATTAAATAAAAGTATAAATTTTATCAACCCTGTTTTTCAGCAACAGTAATTCTATAGATCTAGACTTCTGTTTCCAGATATATTTCTAATTCTTAAGAACTAAGTTTAAACAAGCCAAATGATGATGGGCTGATGACTATCCTGGTCTACTTCTTTCTTTTGGAGCCTCAGAGATAGAGCAGTTATTTCCAATCAGAGCCAACAGCTCCTTGATTTATGGAAAATGGACACACTGAGGCTATGGGAAAACCTGTAGTAAATGTGCCCTCCACTTGGCAGCTGGAAAGCTTCTGATGCACTCTCAAGGTTCCCTGACAGTTGCAGGAAACAACAAAACACCTACCGTGCAGTAGGAAAGAAACAAGGGGAAAATCCCTGTGCAAAGGACAGCACATCCCAGCTGTTCTATCTTTAAGATAAAGTGGTAACGCGTGTTCTCTGTCTCTCCGTTCTTCTTAAACAATTCCACATCCCTAACTCTGTTCTCAGGGGCATCTGGTCTTGCCACAGCGCCACGGAGGAAGGCTCCTCCCCCCACGTCCTCACATCCACAGGGGTGAAAATCCCAGTTATATTATTGCCGCAGTTCTCACAGACACTACACTTTCCAGGAATCCAACAGTTGTGTAACTGAGAGATGGTCACACTGCGATGTGGCTGGGACCTCACCACACGTCGTTCACCACCACAGCACGACAGCCCAGATGGGCTAAAAAGACAAAAATGAGAAAGCACGTGGAATCGGATGCAGAAGTGTGCACGGGCACTGCGAGCCAGAGCAGGCGGCGCAGGAGAAAACGACAAGCGGTCGCAGACTGTTTTCTAACTCTCTCAAATGCAAATGAGCACATCCTATAGACTAGTTTTCAAATCATCTGGGGGATCAGGATGTTCACAGTAACACTTTTACAGAGTTAAAAAGCTGACACATCCACTTCGCAGTACTGTGAAGTTCACTTCCTCTGAATTTATTCTTACTTTACCTTGTTTCATCTGTTGAGCTTTTTACTTTGTTGCTAAGTTTGAAGGTCTCTAAGATTTTGTCTTCCGGAAGAGAAGGCAAGGAAGCAGGTATTAACTACAATAAAAAACAAAGACATATCAACAATAGCTTTGAGCTCTGTGCTGACTAAAATCTGGCTGAGTGAACAGAAGCCAAGCCTTCCCCAACGAACTCACCACTCCAGGAAGACCATTTGCTTTAGAAAAGGGATTTTCCGAGTGTAAAGCAGGCTGGACTTGGCAACTGGCACCCTCGAATGACAAGCCGTTTTCCTTTGGGTCACTGTCTGTACTATTAGCACCATTTAGAGTGACAGGTTCTTGAAGCTCATGTGGCGGGGCCTCCTCATCTTCAGCTTCATGGCCTGCAGAGTGAGCTGTGGTCATCCTTCCCACACCATTCTCTTTGGCCAGGCCCTTGGACTCTTCATCGGACTCTTCAGATGACTCTGCGCCATAGGGCACCAGCACGCTGGAGCTCATCTTGGACTTCCCATTCATCACTGGCTTGGAGCATGACTCACTTGGGGAGAGTGGCTTTGCTACTTTACTAGAAACTGGTATAGTGGATGCATTCGAGGTAGACTGTATCGCAGAACAGTTGGTGACAGTAGAAGGAGGAACAGGCTTGTTAGGGACCTCCAAGGAACTGCTATGATGGTTAGGCTGAGATTGAGTTTGGCGAACAGGCAACTTGTTATGAATACTGATGGTGATTTTTTGTTTCTTAGGGTGTTCTGGAATCACAGAGGGTCTGTTAACTGACCAGTTCTGAACAGAAGTAGAAGCACTAACAGGACTAGCCCTGCTGACACCGGGATTTCCATTAGGACTGGACATGGAACTGCTTGGCGTGTCTTTCAGTGGCCCGGTCCCATTCAAGTGAGGTGAATTCTGCAAGGAAGAAAGCCACAGCCAGGTCAGCACTCCAGAATCAGGGTCTGCTCCAGCCAACGGCCTGCCCACTTTGGTCTTGTGAGTGACGGGTTACACAAATCATGAACACCGCCCTTTTCTTTCATCTGTTCTACCCACGTGCACCTTTCACAGGCCCTAATTTGTTTGAAATTAATCCACACACAGGACAAACATGACTGTCAGAACACAACCCTCTAGACGCAGGTTCACATATGTTCTCCTTGGCTGGCTTCGTGGGAGGCCACCACAGTACAGACAGAACTTACGCCAGCTTGCTGGCCTCCAAGCAAGGGGAAAGCACATGGGCAGAAGGAAAGGCCGCTTCAGGCACTGCATGTGAGGTTACGACTGCGTGCCTCCACCCAGTGGTGTCTCGGCATTGTACTCATACAGTTCTGTTGCTCTGGGTTCCACTACTAC